GGGAGGGAGGGAGGGAGGGAGGGAGAGAGAGAGAGAGAGAGAGAGAGAGAGAGAGAGAGAGAGAGAGAGAGAAACATCCATGTGAGAGAGAAACATTGATTGCTTGCCTCCTGTATGTGCCCCGACCAGGATCAAACCAGCAACTTAGATACGTGCCCTAACTGGGAATCAAACCTGCCACCTCACAGTGTACAGGACAGTGCTACAACTGGCCACACTAGCCAGAGCCCAGTTTATCCATTTCTTTTCTTTTTAAAAAAATATATTTGTATTGATTTCAGAGAGAAAGGGAGAGGGAGAGAGAGAGAGAAACATCAGTGATGAGAGAGAATCATTGATTGGCTGCCTCCTATATGCTTATTCCTGATTTTTTATATAAATAAAATCATATAACATGTGGCTTCTGTAATTGGCTTTTTTAGCCTAATGTCTTCAAGCTCTGTAGCATCAACTTCATTCCTCTTTATTGCCAAATAATAATCCCGTTGTATGGATATGCTACCCTTTATTTGTGCATTCATCAGTTGTTGGTGTTTGGATTGTTTCCACTTTGGGGCTATTATGATAATGTTTCTATAAACATTGATGTGTGCAATTTTTTGTGTCATATGTTTTCATTTCTCTTGGGCATTTGCCTGAGAGTGGGATTGCTGGGTCATATAACTGTGTGTAACTCTGAGGAGCTGTCAAGTTGTTATCCAAAGTGGCTGCACCATTTTTCATTCCCAGTAGGAAGGTGGGCTCCAGTTTCACCACATTCTTGCCAGTATTTGTTATTGTAATTCTTTATTATAGCCATCCAAGTGGGTTCAGTGTGGTATTGATTTGCATTTCCCTAATGACTGATGATGTTGAGCATCTTTAATGTACTTATTGGCCATTTGTACATCTTTGGAGAAATAACTCTTCAGATCCTTTGGTCATTTTCAATTGGACTAATTAGTTATATATAATTCTTTATATATCTAGATACAGATACTTTACCAGATATATAATTTGCAAATATACTGTTATTTTATGAGTATCTTGTCACTTTCTTGATACCATTGACAGCACAGAGGTTTTTAATTTTGATATAGTTCAGTTTATCTTTTGTTTTGTTTTGTTTTGTTTTTGGTCATTTGTGCTTTTGGTGTCATATCTGAGAAGCCATTGCCTAAGGTCACAAAGATATACTGTGTTTTCTAAGAGCTTTAGGACACTTTCTCGCTTCTTTGAAATAACCATTTTATATCTTTTCCTCTCTCTGTAAACCTTCTTTGCTCCCCTGACCCCACCCAGCTAGTGATCTCAGCTCTTTCTTAGTGAGAAAATAGAAGCGTTCAGAAAGAAGTCCCTCTTCCAATCTTCAGGTCTATGAATGGGCCTCAGAATTGGCCCTTCTTCCCTATCAATACTCGGTAACCTCATCCATTTCGTATCTCTAGTTCAGACTTGCCTTGTGTACTCCGCACTGGTGGACCTAACCGCCTCTTTAATAATGGATACCTCTAGGCATCCATCCCAAAATTAACATACTCTGTACTCTACGCTTCCTCTTCTCCATAAATGACACCACACCCATCCATTTCTCAGGCCCCAAACCTAGGTGTCATTCATATTTCATCACCTTCTGCATCCAGTCCATCAAGTTCTGCCTGTTCTACCTCAAAATTATAGCTCAAATCTGTTCACTCATCTCCATCCTTATCTAAATGGCCATCATCTCTCACTTGAACCTTCACGTTAGCCTCCTAGGGAACCTTTCTGTTTTCACACCTGCCCCATCGCAATCCATTTTCTCTTTGCAGCAGTAAAAGGGTGTCTCTTGTTAAAATATATCATGTTATCGCCCTGCTTGACAGTCTGTGGTGACTTAGCATTTCATCTGAGGTAAAATCCAAGGTCTTTTCCTTGCTCTGTGAAAGCACTCCATGATCTAGCCCCTCCCTCAGCTCCAGCATCATCTCATGCCACTCTCCCCTTCCCTCGCTATATACATGCCATCCAAGTTGTGTACTGCACACCTCTAGGGGGCACCATTCACATGTGTTAACCATTGTAGGTTTGCGTATTCCTTATGACAGTTTTCCAGCAGATGGCAGTGAAGTCATGAGGATAGGGTGGTTTTTCTGATTTGCACAAAAGTAGATTTATTTGCCTTTAGAGACTGTCGCTTTTCTCTTCTCTGATACAGCATGGTCTTTTACTCTCTGGGGCCCAGCCTTATTCTCTACGAGTTTCTTTTTCTTATTCTTTCAAATATTTCAAATTTAAAGACTAACATGCATAGTACAAAAAAACTCCCATATAACCCTTGGTCTAGTTCATCAGTGTTCACATGTAGTCACTTTTGCTTTATCACTCCCTCACTCCCTCTTCTCTATAGATTCAGGGTTTTTCCTGACCATTTAAGAGCTAGTTGCAAACACCCTGGCCCTTTATTCGTAAATCAGTGGTTCCCAACATGGAGCACATGCCCCACGGGGGCAATTTGACTTCTAAGGGGAGCAATTTGAGAATTAGTTATTAATAGTGAATTTTTTGCATTTCTTATGGTTCTAGAGCCTCATATACAGTATATAAATACATATTGTGACATTTATGCATTTCGGTTCTCATATGTTTTGAAACTTTATTTGCTATTTTTTATATTATTATTTTTTAAACAATTTCTTAGTGATTTCTTCCTCAGTACTTCAACTGTCCTTTTGTTTTTTTATTTTTCTCTTTCATGGATGCCATGTTCTTGGGAAGCTTGTTTAGACCAAGTTAATGGCCTTTTATTCTTCCTCCATGAATAGGAGTTAACTCTTTTTTTTTTTTTTAATATATTTTATTGATTTTTTACAGAGAGGAAGGGAGAGGGATAGTCAGAAACATTGATGAGAGAGAAACATCGATCAGCTGCCTCCTGCACACCCCCAACTGGGGATGTGCCCACAACCAAGGTACATGCCCTTGACCAGAATCGAACCTGGGACCCTTCAGTCCACAGGCCGACGCTCTATCCACTGAGCCAAACCGGTCAGAGCAGGAGTTATATATATGTCACAGGGGGGCATCAGGATTTTAGCGATGCTTAGGTGGGGCGTGGCCAAAAAAAGGTTGGGAACAACTGGCCTAAATACTTTGGAGTGTGTTTCTTTTGAATAATTTTTTTTGTTTTATAGTACACTAAATTTTTATCAAATGTATGAAATTTAGCACTGACACAGTACTTTCATCAGTTATATAGTTCACATCCAAATTTTGTCAGTTGTCCCCATGATGTTCTTTATAGCTATTTTACCCTGGTATCCAGTGTCCAATCTGTGATCTCACTTCGCATTTATGTGTTGTCAAGTCTCCTGTCTTTCACACCATTGATATTTTTGAAGAATACAGGCTAGCTGTTTTGTAGACTATTTCTCAGTCTGTGTTTGTCTAGTGTTTTCTCATTAGATTCAGTTTGTATGTTTTTGGCAAGAATACCATACAAGTGATGTGTCCTTCCCAGTACATTACATCAGGAGGCACATGGTATCAGTTTGTTCCATCGCTAAGCGTTCTGTGTTGAAACTCTTCCTGTAGATAGATATATGAAAAGTGACATACATATACTTGGACTCTGGTTATGGGAATTGCTCTCATAAGTAGGTTAGCATTCTGTTCAGCTTTCCTGCTCAGTCAAGTGAGCCTGAGTTGCCTCCCATTTCTCTCTCTCCTTTGCAACATCGCTGTCTGGGACTCTCGACCTCCCCTCAGCGATCCTAATCCCTACTTTCTCCTAGTAGTCACATCCCTTAACCGGAATCTTGGAACCAGTGATTATTTCTTCTAGACAATAAGTTTATCAGTTTCAAGTTAGGTTCCCTTGGCTCTAGCTAAGGTTAGGCTTCAGAGAAGAGTATTGAAGGTGACTATGGGGAAGAACTAAGTGCTAGTGGGTCAGCTGGAATCAGGTTCAAGTTCACTTTACCCCCAATCACAGAATTCCATATTTTGATTATAGTTCACATTTGAGTGGTTACTGTGTGTCATTTACAATGCTACACTTTCTACATGCCTTAGCCACATATATTCCTTAAAACAACGTGGACATAGGTGTCACTTTCTTCACTTTATAGATGAGAAAACAAAGGTTTAGAAAGGTTAATTAGGCTAATATGACTAAAAATTACCAGGACTCATGCTCCTGTTTCTCCAACTCCAAAGCCCTTACTCTTTTTTGTATAAGCAGAGAATAGCACAGAGGAAACTTGAAATAGAGTTATTAATGTTGAGGTCAGCCTTCGCAGATTGACATTCCAATGTAGTATGATTGCTAGATTGGCGGGAATTGCCAGCAGTTTACACCCAGGGTTTTTGAGGTCTCTTCAGTGCGGATGTCCCCGGCCATAAGACCCACTTGCTTGGGACAGCCTTGGTTTATTATACCCATTTCCTAACAATTACTATTAGTAGCCCCACTTACTCTCAAAAGTATTGTTTTTTAGATAATTATATGGTCCCATACCCATAATCCTTCCTGAGTACTCTTCAGATGAACAGAGACTGGTGTTTAATTTTAACTAACACTAAGAGCTTGATATATTTTTATTCACCACTCTCTCTGCCCCCAGCCCCAATTTATAAATTTCATTTTAGCTTTGGTTTTATAGCTTGTTGATCCAATTAAACTGTAGGCAACGGATGTTTAATTTAGTCAACAGTTATCAAGATTTTACCACATGTGCTCTACCATCCTTTCTGCTGAAACATTTGAAGTAAATGATAATTTACCCCATTGTACTTCAAGAGCCATCTCTAACAAATAAGTTCCTACATTTTTATAAACCTGTCCAGAAACTAGAGGAACCTTTTGTAGCGTGAATCATCACCCCTGACATATGTGATTTTCACCTATCAGAGTCTCTGCGGGAGGGGGCACCTGTAATTGAATGCTAGTCCCGGCTTCTCAGGCGGCAGGACACAGCCAGAGGACCATCCCGGCCAGTGGCTCGGGGTGTCCGTGTAACTTACGTCCTTTTCTTTCGCAGTGCACGATCTGATCTTCTGGCGAGATGTGAAGAAGACTGGGTTTGTCTTCGGCACCACGCTGATCGTGCTGCTTTCCCTGGCAGCTTTCAGTGTCATCAGTGTGGTTTCTTACCTCATCCTGGCTCTTCTCTCTGTCACCATCAGCTTCAGGGTCTACAGGTCTGTCATCCAAGCTGTGCAGAAGTCAGAAGAAGGACATCCATTCAAGTGAGTTGAAGGATCACAAGGAACACTTTACAGTTTAGTAAAAGGGGTCACTGAGGCTGGGCAGGTGTAAAAATCAGACCTGATGAAAAATTAAGAATTATAGGGCCCAATCAGTGACATGAAACATCAACTAGACACCATGGGACTACTTTAAGAAATGGCCAAGGACTTCTTGACCAGCTAGAGTCTCACACTTTAAGACCAAAGAGGACTGTCTGAATTCCTGAGCAGGGAAGGGTAGCGCTGAGGACAGCACTCAGTTAGATGGCGCCCAAGCACATGTGTAAGCCCCACATGTCAAATCTTTTTTTTTTAAAATATATTTTATTGACGTTTCACAGAGAGGAAAGGAGAGGGATAGAGAGTTAGAAACATCGATGAGAGAGAAACATTGATCAGCTGCCCCCTGCACACCTCCCACTGGGAATGTGCCTGCAACCAAGGTACATGCCCTTGGCCAGAATCGAACCTGGGACCTTTCAGTCCGCAGGCCGACGCTCTATCCACTGAGCCAAACCGGTTAGGGCCACATGTCAAATCTTAAAACGACTTTGAAAGCTGGGTGTTGAGGCTGCGCTCTTGGTGATGATCAGAATTTGGTGTGTTGTCCTTGGTTTTATACCGATTTCCTTCTTCCCTTTTTTTGTTATATATATTTATTCTTTATACATATAATTAAAAACCTGACTCCATTTAAAGGTGTGTGATGCAAGGGAGAGTCTCGGTACAATAAAACTGTACAGGTAAGATCTGCCGCCCCTCAGGCTAGCTGCCAGGGTTCAGCACCATGGGGTTGTCTGTAGTGTGAGGGTCTGTACCAGGCAGGTGGGCCCTGGCTGGGGTCTCAGGGCACGCAGCCCCCTCTTTATCTTTCCTTTAGTTTTCTTAATACCAGGGCCAAGTTTTGATGAATGTAGGTCATGCATTTCTAAAATCCAGTTGCCAGCTTTTTTGACTGGGCTATAACTGTAACACCTGGATTCCTCACGTTTCCTCTTGAAAATCTTAGACCATAAAAAGTGTTAACATTAGCAAATGACAATGTTTTAAAAACCCTTTTCTCATAGAGAAAGAAACCCTGTTGTGACCTCTTAGAACTGTGACAGAATAGGTGTCGGCTGTGGCTTTGGTCCTTGTGTTTTCTCTTGGTGAAAATAGAAGGAATAATTTAAACTATAGGTGACATTTGAAAAGTTATTGCAAATTAGCTTTAATAAATCAATAGTTGTTCAATGAAGGAGTGAATACATTTTATTATTTTTCCATAAGCTCAGATGTCATGTCTCTTGCATGACACTGTTGTGGATTTGTAAAATGTGTTTTGCCAAGTTGCATTAATTTTTATAATTTTCGTATTTGGTGGTAAATGTTTTTTTAATAAATAGGAAAGAAAAACATGCCTGTTACTCTGTTTTCCCACAAGACTGTAGGCTCTCTAAGGCAAAAGCAGCCTTATCTTTCCTGATGACCCAGCACCTCAGAGTGGCTCTCAGTAGGCACTCAGAGTCCTCAGTGAATGACAAGTTACAAGCAAATGTTTACATCTCGAGTCTGTAGTGCCTCTGGGAACAGAACCAGGTGTTTCTTTTTCTGTAATTTTCAACCCAGTCAAACTCATAGCTCCCCTCCTTTATATTTTTTAATAAAAATTTTATAATGCCTCCTTTATCATTTTGAAATGAAATTTATAAATAACATATTTATAAACAAAATTTTTATAATAGATCTTAATTGTAATATAAAGAAATGACAAAATAGCATGTATAGTAAAATAATGTGTTCCAGTCAATATATAATTGCTTGGAAATGAGTACACCAAAAAACAATAATAATAGTAAAACATCAGGTACTTGGCACCTACATGTATAATCTACAATACAGATGTGATTTTCCAAAATGGTGGGGGGAAAAACTTAGTGAAGTTCAGTAAACAAAATACAATTTTAGAAAATTCAAGATATGTTAAAACTGTGAGGAAAAACACCTTGTGGACCATTTTACACTTCGCAGACATCTGACATCTTTGCCTCTGCCATTAAATGACAGTGGTGCCCCCACCCCATCCGTGACAGCAAAACATGCCCCTAGAGATTTCTAAGGTGCGTCCGTGGAGGAATTTCACACTCTAACGAACGGCTATGCTCACAGAAAGAGGTCTTCTCCTTCCGTGTCAAATATCTGACTGTTGTTTCTTCTTCTGGAAGATCCTACCTGGATGTAGACATCACTCTGTCCTCAGAAGCTTTCCACAACTATGTGAACGCTGCCATGGCGCACGTCAACCGGGCCCTGAAGCTCGTTATCCGTCTCTTTCTGGTGGAAGATCTAGTTGACTCCTTGAAGGTTCGTTCTGCTGCTCTTTAAGCTTTAGGGGGTGAGGAAAAGGAAAACCAGAGACTAGGTCATACTTCAGAGGAAAAATAGTGAGTGGGGTTTCCACAGATAAAAACAATTGTATGCTTGTTTCCATCAACCTGTAAAAATGGACAGGAGTCGGTGGAGAAGGTATCTCATAAACCTGGAGAACTAACAGGATAATGTAATCGACAGAAATGCAGTTACAGTCTTTGGGCCTAAGAGAACTACAGAATTCTCTTATCCACCCTCAAACGTACAGTGCAAATGGGGTAACCTTTATTTTGAAATGATTTATGGCATACATCACTAAATTTATGTAGACTTAACTAGCTAGAGGAAAATGGCATTGGCTAACCTGAAGCTTGTGTCGTAACTATTCCTGCTTCACCCCCTGATATTGGCCTTCACAGCTGGCTGTCTTCATGTGGCTGATGACCTATGTTGGTGCCGTTTTCAATGGGATCACCCTTCTGATTCTTGGTAAGATGGCAAGGAAAATGTCTCCATGCTCTTTGAAGTCATTGGTAAGAGTTAAGAGCGAAGAGAATGCCCAGCATGGCTCCATTGCTTCCGAATGGCCCCGCCTTTAACATCCATGGAGACCTTGAACCTAGATATTGTGTGGCTGTAGGTTTATTAATTTGGTCCTAATTTTAAATATCAGAACAGCTAGAAGCAAAGGAGAGTCATCTAGATTTGATTTACATATGGGGATCTTAAATTTATAAGAATCAATGTACCTGTATCTAACTGTCCTTAATTGAGAGATCTAGACATTTCTCATATTGGAGATCTGTGTTTCCCTGTATTTCATGAGGAAAACCTGTGTGTTACTTGAGTCCTGAGACTTTGTGACTGTCTCACACTTATACTTGCCATGCCCCATGATTCTGTCTTACAGCTGAACTGCTCATTTTCAGTGTTCCAATTGTCTATGAGAAGTACAAGGTAAGCTTCGGCCTGCTTCAAGTCAGATCATGCCAGTTGATGTGTGACTAGTTTTAGTTCATTTTTTAGGTATGGACAGTTCAGAGCAGCCACACCAGTTGATGTGTGACTAGTTTTAGTTCATTTTTTAGGTATGGACAGTTCAGAGCAGTCTCTTCCATTCCTGTAGTCCGACTTTATAAGTCAGGTGCCTGTAAGAAACTGGTAGCAGGGGTTTCCTCTAGTAGACAAACTGTCTAGGAGAGATAAGGGCAGGAAGACTACTTTTTATGCTTAGTTGTGTGCCTTTTGTGTTTTTATCACATAACTGCATTATCTGTTAAAATAAGTTGGAAAATATTTAAAGAAATAAAAACTCATATCTAAAAAGAAAATATTAAGGGTAATATGGGACTCAATCAGTCTGAGCAGGTGTTTGCATTGTGGAATGGTGCCTAAAGAGTATACTAGATTTATGAGGTTATTATTTTTGGATTAAGTCATCCATCAGCAGACTATTTGGTATTAAATGAATTAGTCTTACCCAGGAGCCAAAATATATTTATGATTACAGGAAATAGATTAGATACATTATCTAGTATTCAGGAAATGCTATTATAGTCCAGTTTCTCTAAAGAAAACACCTAGCAAGTAAGACTCTGCAGAAGAAATTAGTGTTTTTTACTGCAACTGAATATGGGATGTTTATGGTTTAATTTAAAGTCTGAAATCTGGAGTTTTAAAAACACTTATAAAAGCTGGGCATTATTTTCATTTTCCAGAATATTCAGTAGTGTTTTTTAAAAATAGTTACACTTAGAGAAAAGAACATTGCCTTCAGGAAAATTGTTAATCTGTGTTGCCACAACTAAGTCACTTTCCTTCCTTAAAGACCCAGATTGATCACTATGTTGGCATCGTGCGTGATCAGACCAAGTCGATTGTTGAGAAGTAAGTATGCTTAGGTTCCACGTTTCCTCACAACGTGCTCCCACCCCCGCCCCAATGACGTTTTGTCCCGGTGTGAAATGTTGGTGCCAATTTTTCACCCTGAAATGTGATTTTCTCCTTGGGGGCAGGGGGGGGGGGGGGCACTTTGGTTAATAGTTTGATTTTACAAGAAATTATTTCAACTCTTTTTTTAAAAAAATCTTAACCTGGTCTTAACCTGGTCTTGTTAGGTGTACATTGGAGCTAAAACCAGGCAAGGACAGTTAACACAAAATATGTATCTAGTTGCTGTTCACTCAGGATTTTGAAAGGCGATCCTTGCTTACTTGGCTTTGAACCTAATGTCTTGAATTGGTAGTATTGGCTGACTTGGCCCCCTGCTCCGGGATGTAACACTTGTAGGGAACAGTTTTGACATTAGCTGAGGGGTGTGAATGGCCTTAGTCATGGGGACACTTAATAAACAAAATAAAAGGCAGCTTTGGTGTCCCATAGGGGACGGGGAACTGTTGCCAGTTCCTATAGTGTTTTACTATGTCTCCTTGACTCTGAGTCCTGGTTTCTTTTATGGCACCAGTGGGTGAGCAGGCATTTTCAGAGAAATGGGCTGCCAGTGTGTAGTCAGCAGATGTTACGCCCAGGTCCTTCCGGAACCCCCCCCCCCCCCCCCCCCCCCAGTGAAGGACCCAGGAGGTCCTGGCAGTGAAAGAGGCAGCAGGCAGCAGGCTTAGTGGCAGCGGCAGGAAATGGATCTTCGCAGACCCCTCACCTTGACTCACACCAGACTCTTCACCCAGAGGAAGCCTCCGGAAATGGGAGCGGTTTTTCACACTGTCCAGCGAGTCTAGGACTGCCCGCCAGCATCACTGTTAAAATAAAACCTAGCACTAATGGCTACTTTTACTTTTTCCTCCCCTCAATAGGATCCAAGCAAAACTACCTGGAATCGCAAAGAAAAAGGCAGAATAAGTACATGGAAACCAGAAATGCCACAGTTACTAAAACATTTAATAGTTATACTGTTGTTACTTGTACTATGAAGGAAAGTGCTCAGTGTCAGCTTGAGCCTGCATTCCAAGCTTTTTTTTTTTTCAATTTGGTGTTTCCCCCTCCTTTCCTTTACCTGCAGAATCAAGCACAAGAATTATTGGACTAAAAAATGGACTGATATCTTAAAACATAAAAGAATAAAGACAGAATCAATTGAATAGGCGAAATCAATACCTTAATGATGGTGGAGCCTTAATGGTGATGTAGTTTGAAAGGGGAAAAATTGGAGGGTAAAGGCGAAGAATATAAAACACCCCTCTTGGGTTCTATTTCGTTTCCAAAGCTATGTAATTTTCTTACATAGCTGCCCCTCATAATTTTTCCTTTATTTCTAAGTTAAGAAATAATGGTTAACTTAAATTATCTGGGGATAAGAGTGGGATTCCTTCCCATGAGCTTGTGGGGTTTTTGCAGCCCTTGACCCCCTCTTCCTGCCCCACAATGTGAGCAGCCACTCTTCATATTCCTCTTCTTCACTTATAGATAAAACTTTCGACTCTGAGTAACTTATAGGTGATAGTAATAATTCCTGGTTACCAGAATGCCAGCTGATGGCCGAGAAGGGAAACAGCCCAGCGGGTGGGATTGGAGCTCTGCCCTCCGTGAGCCCCGCTCCCTCCCGCCGACCCTGGAAGGAGCGGCTCCGCCATGGGGGAAGGTGGTGTGTGGGTCTCTTGGACACTAGTTCCAAGCTTTAGTTCAGGAGCGTATTTCTGAATGTGCTTTCCTCCCTCTTCCCTATCCACCTCACCTCAAGTTTAATAAATATGGTTGTACTTTTCTTATTCTGAAACAAATGTCTGTAACTGCTGTAAACTGCTGTAACTTGTGAGAGGAAATCCCTGCATGTGGGCTCCTCGGTTGTTGAGTTATTGTGATCCTATCTCAGTCCGTGGAGGGGGACACTCTCCAGAGGCAAACCACAGAAACACAGGCTTTTCTTTATCTTTTCCCTGCGGCCTCCCCCTTCACCGGCTACATCTCCACCCTGTGCTCAGCGTTTCACCCTGAGGGCCGGCCCGCTGGCTTGGGAGGAGATGGTGTGTGTCTGTAGTTGAGAGCACAGAGGAGTGTAGGGTCATAGGCAGTTGGAGCAGAGGTTGGCTGCTGGCTGTGATGTTTTGAGGGTTCCTTTCCTCTTCGGGCGCATAGAATGTCCTAGCACCTGTGCCATGGCCCACAGTGCTCCTCCTGAGTGTGTTCCAGGAGCCAGGTCAGGGCCGCCCACAGGGTCAGATGGTGTTGATGGGCTCTGTGCACAATTAAGACAACAGAACAGCTCACATGGAAGGGCGATGGGGACCTTGGATTCCCGTTTGAGACTGTCTTCCTCCCCTTCCAGCACGAAAACTCAGTAAACGTGAAAGGCACCGGTGAGTTCCTTCAGGCGTAGCTCATGCTAACCCAGAGGGAATGCGCACGGTGACTTCAGAGTAGGGGCCATGGTCTCTGATGGCCCCAAAGCACTGCAGTGTAGAAGGTGGCAGAAGGAAAGTGTCTTTCTACTTTTGGGGGGAAATTACTTAGGCATTTAGATGGGTAAAAGGCATCCTTGCCTTACTCCATTCTATTTCTTAGCCCCCTTTCCTTTTGAAATTTTCAACTGATTTCATGTCATGGCATAGAAAATGCATTCTCCAGCCCCGTCCTTGGCCCTCCCAGGAAGTCAGTGCACTGGTGATCTTTTTGGGCTTCCCCTCCCAAGGACTTTGTCTGCACTGGAAGCCTGCACCTCTAGCTCTTTTGTTCTGTTAGTGCTGTGTTTAGATACTTGGGCAGATCTTTGTGCCACACAGGAATTTTTTTTTTAAAGAAAAACCCATAGATGAAAAATTAATGAAACTGTGCGTGTGTGTGCGTGCAACATTAAAATATAGTAGCACTAAGGAGCTTGAATCTTGGTTCCTGTAAAACTTTAAATTGATGTGGTATTAATAAAAATTAAAAAGAAAAAGCCTGGTGTCATTCTGCTAACTTTATTCTTTATACACAGTTTGAATAAAGAACCAAACAAGGCTTCCACTGGCCCCCACCCCACTCCACTTTTGCGGCTTTTAAAAGCAACTAACAGTTGATACCAGTATTGATGCCCAAGACTGCGGAACTTCCACAGGACAGCGAGGACGTGCATTTGGTTTCTGAAAGGAAGTAGGAGCCCCTCTAAGAGGTGAGCCTCAGGAGCAAGGTGAGGAGTGGAAGGGCCAGCGGGGTCTGCGCCCCGTTCGGTCTCACACCAACTGAGGGTCCCTGCCCAGAACACAGGAAGCAGCTTCCAAATCACACACGCCCCATGCACTCAGTCGCCATGGAAAACGGAAACTAAATACGTCGGGTCTTTGCTGAAACAACCTGTCACCTGGGACTCACTCTCCTCCAAAACTAAGGCTGCCCTGCCCCTTACGCTGGATTTTTAAAACTTACTCGACATACCTTACAAAACTTAGGCTGAAACTTAAAAAAATAGTAACTGATGCAAACTTGACAAATATGCATACAAATGTTTGAATAATGTCACTAACATGGTACATAAATATGTATTCAGAGTAACATTTACATATTGGCCATAATAGCAAGCATACCATTAACAAAAAGTTCATGAAGCAATGTCACCTGTTCACATCAGACCCCGAGGCAAGGAGGCATACACCTAGAGATGAGGACGCCCTGAGCCCTGGGCAGTGAGGCCATAGCTCCAGCCAAAGCAGGAGTCACCCCCTGGCCCTTCCTAGATCGCTGGTGCTCAGCGTTGAAGTGGGCTCCATTTGTGATCATTGAAGGGCTCATCTGAACAGATTGCTGGGCCCCACCCCAGTGTCTGATGCAGTCAGGTGGGGCCTCCTCATTTCCGTTTCTGTTAGTTCCAATACAATGCTGGTCTGGTGGCTACTTGGAGAACCCCTGGGGTGCTTGGGGCTGCCATGGCGCCTTCCACTCCCATCAAGAGGAAACACCATGCCTAACCCGCGCTCTGCCCTGGCTTACCTGAACTTCGGCAGTGGGCTTGGGTGAATATAACAGGCTGCCCCAAGATGCCTACTGTTTCTGAACAGGCAGAGTAGCAAAAGTGGTAGAATACTAATTCTAGATTTGAGAACAGCTTGTGTGAAGGAGAATAAAAGAATGGCAGTGCCCAGCCTGGTGCCATCCATAATCCCTGGTCTCAAGCTTGTAATACTGCCTCAAAAACCCTGGAGGTGCACACACTAGTAACTCACTTTCCGGTCAACTGCGAGGCCATGCCCCCGCGGCCACACCACCCACACGCAATGGCGGAGCCCTTGCCCTAAGGGGAGGACTGGGAGGCCTTGGGCCAGGCAGCAGTCAAACCCACTTAGGTTCTGGAGAGGGCTGCTGCCCACACCTCCCGCTGAGCCTGCGTGGCAAGGCCTGCCTTAGTCATTCCAGGGAGGTGTGCCTTCTTCCGCCCCCAGGTCACAGCTAACTGCACGGACGGCCTGCAGCACCAGCGCGGGCCATCCTGTGGTCGGTCAGATGGGGACATTTTTATGACTTACCAGAGATTGGGAGGCAGCGTCATATAGTGCAAAGAAACTGAATTGGAAGTTTTTTATTCTGGTTTTGTATGTTCCTAGCTAGCTGTGATCATTCAGTTTCTGGGCTTCCTCTTACCTATCTGTGAACGGGGTGGAGGCGGATACTAGTTACTCTGCAAGGTCTTGCCAACTCTGACAATCTTGAATTATATAAAAATGCTATAAAATCCGTGGTATAAAATCCAATTCCCAAATCAGGAAGAGTCGAGGGGACCGGGCCTGCGGCACTTGAACCCTGGGCTCTGGCCTGGGGGGTGGGGGGTGGGCTTCCTCCTTGCTGTTCCCCGCGCGCAGAGGCAGCCGCTGCCTCCCCACTCTCAGGCCTTCAGACCCAAAGAACCGGCCTATGCGAAGAGCAGGCGCTGGGGCCGCGGAGTCACCGCGTGGGACGTGTGGGACCCTCATCCCCCTGCCCTCACTCCGTTAAGTCCTTTCTCCACCGCCTCGCAGCTTATCTCTGATACTCGCATAATAAATAAGACATTTGCACGCAAAGGTGACTGGGACAGCTCTCTCCCGCCCCTCCCCTTTCATATAAAAGCATTAAATACAGTTTCAAAATAAAATACAAAGAGCAAAAGGGCCTGCTTTGGGGGCCACCTGTTCTCCACAGGAGAATGAATCTACACATCCCTCTCGGACCTGCCTGGGAGATGGCGGGGCCCCTTCCCGGCCCGCCGCGGGGAGAGAAAGAAAGGCCGAGGCCCGGCCCCAGGCCCTGGGCCCTGAGCACGGGCGGCGCCCACCGCGTACAGAGGGGGACAGGGAGGGAACGGGACTCTCCCGCCCGGGCCGGGACCTCCAGTGCCCGGGTTCGGCCCACGGAGGCGCCCAGGGAGGCAGCAGCGCCTGAGCTGCGGGGTGAACGGGGGCCCCAGAGCAGGAGAGGCGCAAAGGAAAAAGTGCTAATCCCTTTCGATCTCGGTCCCGCAGGCGCGGGGGGCACCGGGAGGCCGGTGGGGCCGCCAGCGTGCGGTGCCCGCGGGAGGAGGGCGCAGCCCGGCGGCCCCGGCCAGCTCATCCCGCCCACGAACCGCCGCCAGGCCGGGTGCGGCGCACCTTCCCCGCCGGGCGGGCCCCGGGCCCCGCCTCCGGAGCTGCCTGCGTCCGCGTCCAGGCCTCCGAGCGGCCGCGAGGAGCAAGGCCCAGACGCCGCCTGACCCGGGCTCCTGCCGCCGGCGTGCAGCGCTGCTGAGCCGGGCCCCAGGCCAGGGGAGGGGCGGCGCGGCCTCCCCGCCCTTCCCGCAGCCCCGACTCGGCTCCTAATACTGACTGTCGGCGCCCCGATCCTGGTCCCGCACAGGACCGCCGGGCCGGGGCTGCAAGCTCTCGGTGCAAACGCCTGGAGGCGGCTGTGGCTCCTCGGGAAACGCGGGGCCCGGTGCGGGGAGGGCCAGGGCGCGAGGTCCGATTAGCCCGGGGAACTCCACGGCCCCCCACCGATCCCCGACCTCCGCCCGGCCCGGCCAGCGGGGGGCAGTGGCAGCGCTCTCCCCGGCCAGGCCGCCCCCGCCCGGCCCGCGGGTCCGCTGCTCCCATCACGCCCGACACACGGCGCCCGCCTTGAGGTCCGCGCCGCCGTCGCGCGGCGCCGGGGCGGGCGGCCCGAAGCCCTCG